GTAGCAAATTGGTCTAATGAAATACATTACTTAATTTCTTGACTGCTTCTCCCAGGAGTGCTGATGATTGATCCAAGCAATGTGATGTCTGACAACTTCAATTTTTGCTACATTTATATGGATGTTGTTTATGGGTCCAATGGTAATGACTTCTGTTTTCTTTACAAAGATGTAAACCCATACCATAGGCTGTGGTCTTTGATCTTCATCAGTAAGTATTTTGAATCCTCTTCACTTTCAGCATGTAGGATTGTATAATGTGCATATTTCAGGTTGTTAATGAGTCTTCCTCCAATCCTAATGCCTCGTTTTTCTTCATACAATCCAGTTTCTCAGATTATTTGCTCAGCATACAGATTGAATAAATATGGTGAAAGAATACAACCTTGGCACACATCTATCCTGATTTTAAACCATTCAGTCTACCTTTGTTCTGTTTGAATGACTGACTGTTGGTCTGTGTATAGGGTCCTCATGCACACAATTAATTGTTCCAGAGTACTCATTCTCTGCAAGACTGCCCATAAATTGTCATGACTCATACAATTAAAAGCCTTTATGTAGTCAGCAAATCATAAGTAAACATCATTCTGGTATTCTCTGCTTTCAGCCAATATCTATCAGACATCAGCAGTGATATCCCTTGTTCCATGTCCTATTCTGAATCCTGCTTGAACCTTAGGAAGTTCTCTGTCAATGTATGGTTACAGCCTTTTTAAAATTTGACTTTCATGATATATTAATGATATTGTCCAATGATTTCCAAATTCCACTGAGTCACCTCTCTTTGTAATGGACACAAATATGGATCAACTACCAGTTGCCAAAGTAGTTGTCTTCCAAATATCTTGGCATAGATGAGTGAATGCCTTCAGTGCTGCATCAGTTTGTTGAATGATTTTAATTTGTATTCTGTCAATTCCCAGAGCCTTGTTCTTTGCCAATGCCTTCAATGCACCTTGGACTTCTTCCTTCAGTATCATTGGCTCTTAATCTTCTGCTTCCTCTTGAAATAATGGAATATCAGCCATCTCTTTCTAGTACAGTGACTCTGTATTCCTTTCATCTTCTTTTGATGCCTTTCTGCATCATTCAATATTTTGCCCATAGAATCCTTCAATATTGCGAGTTAAAACTTGAAGTCTTTCTTCAGTTCCCTTAGCTTGAGGAATGATGAA